CACAGACGCACAACAACGCACAACAACCACACACACACACAACGGCACAACAACACACACACACAACGCACAACAACACACACACACACAACACAACACACACAGACGCACAACAACCACAGACAACACACAGACGCACAACAACACACAACAACACACACACACAACAACAACCACACACAGACGCCACAACACAACACACGCACACAGACGCACAACAACACACACAGACGCACACCACACACAGACGCACACAGACACACACAACAACGCACAACAACACACACACACAACAGACACAACAACACACACAGACGCACAACACACACACAACACACACACTACACCACACAGACGCACAACAAACACACAGACACAGACGCACAAACCAACAACACACACAACAACCACACAAAGACAACAACACAGACAACAACACACCCCAGACGCACACACACACAGACGCACACAACACAACACACAGACGCACAACAACCACAACACACAACAACCACAACAGACACAACACACACACACACACAGCCAACCCCAAACACACACAACACAACAACCAACCCCACACACACACAGACGCACAACAGACTGCACAACACACACAGACGCACAACACACACACAACACACACACAACCACAACACACGCAGACGACAACACCACACACACACAACACACACACACAACAGACGCACAACAACCACAACAACCACAACACAGACGCACAACCCACAACACAACACAACGACACACGCACAACCACCACAGACAGACGCACAACAACCACAGAACACAGACGCACAACACCACACACACACACAACCACACACAGACGCACAACAACCACACACACAACACACAACCACACAACCACACACAGACGCACAACAACCACACACAGACAACCACACACACACAACACGCACGCACAACAACACACCCAACACACAACAGACAGACAGACAACACAACAACAACCCAACCACACAGACGCACAACAACCCACACAGACGCACAACAACACACACCAACACACACAGAGCACAACCCACAGACGCACACACACACACACACACCACAGCACAACACACACAAACACACACACCACACACAACGCACAACACACACAGTCGACAACAACCACAGACAGACGCACAACAACCCACCAACCACACACTACCACCCACAGACGCACAACAACACACACAGACGCACAACCACAGACAGCACAACAACCACACACAGACCACAACTCACCAAACACAAACAGACAGACCACAACAACCACACACAGACGCACAACTACCACACACAACAGACGCACAACAACCACACACAGACGCACAACAACCACAGACAGACGCACAACAACACGACACACAGACACACAGAACGCACGACAACACACACAAAACACACACAGATGCACACAACACACACAGCGCACACACAACACCACACAACAACAACACACAGATTGCACAACTACCACCACACACACGCACAACAACCACAGACAGACGCACACAACCACCCACGCACAACAACACAACACACGCAACAACCACACACAGATGCACAACAACACACACAGACGCACAACACCCGCACACAACACACACAGACGCACAACAACACACACAGACGCACAACAACAACACACACGACCACAACCACACACACACACACCGCACAACAACACACAACACACAAACACACACAACAACACACACAACAACACACACAGATGCACAACAACCACAGACGCACAACTACCACACACACAGACGCACAACACACACAGACGCACAACAACCACAGACGCACAACAACACACACACACAGACGCACAACATACACAGACGCACAACAACACAAACACACACACACACACAACACACACACAACACACACACAACACACACTGGGTGAAGTCTGTGTTGTTTGTACAGGGGAGATCCTGGACCAGTTGAGGAGGTCCAGACCTGGTCCAGTTCGAGTCCTGGACTTGGGTTGTGGTAAAGGAGGAGATTTACTGAAGTGGAGACGAGGCAACATCAGCCACCTGGTTTGTACAGGTACTACTACTACTACTATTACTACTATTACTACTACTACCACTACTATTACTAGTATTACTACTACTACTACTACTACTACTACTATTACTACTACTACTACTATTACTACTATTACTACTACTACTACTACTCTACTACTACTACTACTTTACTACTACCGATACTATTACTACTATTACTACTATTACTACTACTACTACTACTATTACTACTAACTACTATACTACTCCTACTATACACTACTACTACTATGCTACTACTGCTATTACTAATTACTACTACTACTACTACTACTAACTACTACTCTACTACTACTACTATTACTACTACACTACTATTACTACTATTTACTTACTACGACTACTACTCATTACTACTACCACTACTATTACTACTAACCACTA